TAAAGTGAAAGGACGGCACACGGCTGATATAACGCACGAAAGTAAAAAGAACTCCGTTTCTTTGTAGTTTGACTAAAGATTTACTTCAATTTTTACAACCACAAATTTAGTACACATAAATAATTATCGCAAAATATTCGATACAATCACCTTTTTCGAATTATCTTACTCAGCAGTAATAGAAAATTGCGGCGGTTTTCTACACGATATACTAGCGAGACTCTGAACACTAAGAGAGAGAGATCGGTGACGATCAGCGCATATATTGCCTTCGTGGCCTAGGGTCTCTTCTTGATAAAATCCAATAGAATTTTACCACAATTGTAATTTTTGCGTGGCATTTGCGTGGCATTAGATTGATTGGCGCCTTGGATTCTTTTCTAATGACTTTTGACGTAACAATCATGCGCGACAGAAAATCCGCGCGTGGGATTGGTGACCGCGCGTGACGTGTTTGTCGGAGCGCTGCGCTCGCGCGTGTGATTGAATTGTTCTCGAACCTTCGATGGTTCGGTTGCCGTTGCCTGTGTATGTGTATATAACGAATTAATTTGAAATGAAAAAAACGATAAATTGGTAGCTTTAGCGAGAATTAAGATCGTGCTAGAGATGAATTTACAGACTCATTTCATGCACACGTCCAACAACAATTATGTTAATCAAACGAAAGAATTATTACTTTTTTTACGAATTAACGATCTCAAACACATTATAAAACTAAGTCAGTGATGAATGGTGGTGAACGCCGTAGACGGATTACGGACAGTGTTGCAGATGCAAGGGAATTTCCCGAAACCTAGGGAGAATTTCAAGAAAAAAAATGAAAGAGGGAAAAAGGGATTTTTGTGAAAATAAATTAAAATTTAGGAGTTTTTCACAATAAATGAAAATTTTGTTTTCGGTTTTCGGTCGGTAATTCGGTGATCGGCGTAGAGTGGCCACCACGGTGGTCGGACAGTGTGGTGGACAATAGAGCTGCGTTCAGAAACACCACCCGAGTGCCGTTTTATCCTTGTTATTCACCCTATATTAAATAAGGATAAAATAATACATGGGTGATGTTTCCGAACACAGCCTTGGGTTCGGAGCGACTACGCACATGCTTAATCTTACTAGATTGATTCTTGAGATTAAATTTGTGTTAGAAACATGTATTTGTTGTTGACTTTTTGGGTGAAATTACACGGTGCGGAAAAGGACTGCGGAGCAGAGAATGTGTCATTGAAATAACCAATTAGCGCTATTCGGAATAACGCAGAATAACGCTGATTGGTTGCTTCTATGACGCATTCTCTATTCCGTAGTCGTTATCCGCACCGTGTGATTTACATTCTTAATTGCGATCGTTCTTTATAGTTCAAGTGCTTCTCTTCTAAAATAAAAAGTTATTTTCTCAACGCTTAAGCAGTATGGTTGATCTGAAAACCTTCCATCACGTTATTTTACAAGCATGAGCTTGTACAGAGACGCGGACTTATAAACTAAGTCTGTTTAACCCCATAGTGCGACGCGTGGCAGTTACTGGTCCTCTGGTTATTTCGTCAGAATTCGATCTTCGATTTAGGATTTCCTAATGTCGCTAGAATACAAAGTCGATCTTATAAACTTCTTTTTATTGAATCAGGCACCCTAAAAATGGCGGAATCAATCACTACACAAGTCTTTCATAATTTTTGGAAAGATAATATATGTATTACCTGTCTTCCATGAATTGGAATATTTTACGCAACTGTATGGCATTGTGTATCCTGTAAATACAGAGAATTAAGGCTTACTATAAATACAATAGGCACAGGCAATAGGCACAGGGAACAAAGAATAACGAGCTGTCCAATCAGAGCTCTGAGATATAATATCAAACTTACACATCAGAGCTCTGATTGGACGGTTCGTTACTCCTTGTTGCTTGTGCCTATTATGTTTAAGCCTTTATTGTCATGATACTTAAGAATGTGAGGGGAATACTCAACTGTGATTAGTCAATTCTTAAGGTCTGGTAGACAGTAACCTTTAATTTAGGCCGATCATAAAAGTTGAAAGATAGGTAACCTACACTACCATTTATAATAGGCAGCAATAATCTGTTTTTGGCCGTAAACGAAAAGTAGACTCAATTTTATCTTTATCGGTCTATGGCCACGGAAAAATGCGGAAAAAATACAAAAGAATGGAGAAGCAAAATATGAAGAGATTCAAGTTCAAAAGGACTTTTCTTTTAACCTGTTCCAGAAAGAACTGTTAAAATCAGAAGAAATAAAAATAAACGATGCTGATTTGATTTTCTGGGTCGAATAATTTCGGCACTTATATGATAAAAATGTCCTTATTTTTCCTTTTTTTTTTATTGGACATACACTCCAACGTTTTTTCCTTATTTTTTTATTTTACGGTGCGTCTGCAGTATATAATGCTAGCTCCAAAATTGACAAGAACATTCCACACACTGCCATGTCGGTTAAATCCATATTTTTTATTAAATTTAAAATTTATTTATATTGTTAATGACTTTTAGGTTATGACTATATCGCCGCCATAATAGCGAAGTACCGGCTATTATAAATCGTTCCTTAACAAATTGCGGCATACTACAATTACGCCAATATAAACGCTCCCTAATTCGGAATGATTTTAACTAAGTTCGGAAACGTCACTCGAACAGTATAAATAAAAACAGTAGTTTCACTCTGTGGCCTAGTTTCCACTGAGGGTTTAAACAGGATCAAAATGTAAGGGACTCCGCACAATAAAAGGAATAGAAACAGAGAATAAGAATTACAACCTATCAGAAACTATGTATTCCACAATACGTGATTTCTGATAGATTGAAATTCTTATTTTCTGTTCTCTGTTCCCTGTTTCTTTTATTGTGCGCAGCTCATAAACACCAATCAACTATAGTCGAGTATTCCTCTGTTACAGCTAAATGACAAGGGAATGCTCGACTGTAGTTGATTGATTTTTACATTCTGATCCGGATTAAACCCTCGATGAAAACTAGGCCTGTGTCGATACCTTTGATCTGACACAAACGAGCGCTATTTTATTCAAAATTTTACGTGAGCACTTATAAAAGTGAAGAATCTTAAAAAATAGGAAACTGATTGGTGCACCATGTTGAAATTTGTGCAGAACGGTCGTTACTACTTTTGGATACTGTGACTCGAATGCCTCCGATGCCTCGGATTCATCATCTGTCCTTGTTTAACATTTAGGATGCGTTCCGAGTTATACATGAAGCATATGATGTATCGTTTTATCTTCTTTATTATTTGATGAACAGGACAAATGATGCACTTCATGCATAACTCGGAACGCACTCAATGTTAGGATACATGATGAATTCGAGAATCCGAGCCATCCGAACGACGTTTCCGAATGCATCCTTTCAGGGGTTCTATTCTTGAATACATATGAATAATTTTCGTATACGACAGTTCCTTAATTGTGACTGGTCGATTGTATACGGAATTATTATTTTTGTATATGCGATATTTGTTCAAGAATAGGGTTCCTGTGTACAGTTCACACGATCTTCATGCATCAGTTTCGAAGAACCATTCGACTGTGGCAGACGTATTTCGGTTCAGGTGTTACAAGTTTATATATTTTTGAAAATGTTGCTGATTTTGACTGAGCATTGAATCTCTCGCAGCTATCCCGTAATTTTGGACAACCCATTCGTTCGTCCTGACACACGTCCTTGCGGCGTGACAATGCCGTAGACGCAGGCGCTCGGTGTCCGTGCGGGATTCGCCATTTTCGCGGGCATTGCATCATTTTTGCATCATTTTTTTTGCTTTTATATATCTCATTAGGACGTAATCTGGCCATATCAATCTCCATTTATCATTTCGGGAGGCGAGAGTCATTAACCAAGAAGAAGAAGGTCTTCGTAACTCGGAATGCATTCTAAAATGCTGGATAATCTAAAATACACCAACAACGAGTGCTCATTCAACTGTTGAATCCGAACGCAGCCAATAGGACGTTTTTGCAATAACGTTAATCCAGGAGTGCCCTATTCTTGGGCACACATGAATAATTTTTGCATACGAAAATGACAGTTTCTCGATTGTAATTGATTCTATACGGAATTGCTATTCTCGTATGCAATATTTGCTCAAGAATAGGGCCCCAGATACGGTAAACGCTAAAGTCGCTATTCTTAGTATTAAAAAAAGATAACCTGACTTTAGCGTTCCCCTGGATAAGACGGTATTGCAAAAACTCGCTAATATCTTACTTAAGGGTGCGGTACTACTTGGCGCTATAAATGCTTCGGAGTGTTCGATATTGGAAAGAAAGAATTTTACTAATTAACTAATCAAAATGCTTCATAGCATCAAGTGGACCGTAACCTAAAGCGGAGAGCACAGACTCTTGTATGACACATGACGCATAAGAAATTAAATCAATCAGAGTTCTTTATTTCATAGAAAGGAAGGAAATGAAGAATTTCGATTGGTACATTTTCTTATGCATTACGTGTTATATGTTATGTAAGAGTCTGTAATCCCTTCTTAATTCTATTCTTATTTTCAGAAAAATGAGTGGCTGATTAAATTCTGCCATAAATCAATCTATTTTTTAATAAGAACTATTTTTTGTGTACAATTTCCTTAATACAATTTTCCTTTCCAATTTTTTTTTCATCTCCAACATTTTAATATGTACTTATTTAATTTTAAGAGTAATAATAGAACTATGGTACAACTAAATAATATAAATCTATTAATGTATGCACAGCAGATTCAGCCAACACAGTCCTTATAACAATTACAACATACAATCAATATAAACTAAAATATATCATATGTGATACATAATCTAATTGATAAATTTTTATAAAAATCTAATACATTAGCAAACTAAGTAACGCTTGTAATAAGATTTGGATTTATGAAACTTTATTTTTTGGGTATACATGGCTTTGCTAAGAATTATATATTATATATATATGTATGTATGTATGTATATGTATATAATATATATTATTTTCACTAAATTTATCTGTAAATACATATATTAGGACTAGCCTAATACATAGGTGCGCGCGCGCGCATGTAATTTGATTACTATATATCACATTATCATAGTCATACATTATGGATCATATTTTGCATAATCAAGCATGCTAGCTATTGAATACACAGTTAATGCATCATACATATTTGATATTATGAAAACATGAATACATACAAAAAATACTGAAAGCAAGTTTCTAAATAAATACAATAAAATAAATACAATAAATATTACAATATGATCTAACAAGAATATCTCAACGTATTTAAAATAATAGTAGTCATGAAGCTAAGCCCAAACTCGTAAAGTTGCATCCCAGCTTCCAGTAGACAGAGCAGTACCATCTGGAGAAACCCTTAAACACGAAACTCGATTTTCATGTCCATATAACAGCGCCACTCGTTGACACTTTAAAGTATCCCACACATTCACTGTGTAATCATTGTATCCGGCGAAGAGTAAGCGTCCACTTATACTGAGATCAACCGCATTTGCTCCGAATATTATACTTTCTTTTGCATATACTGCAACTTCTCTATCAGCACGCAGATCGAACAAGCGACAAGTAGCATCATCTGAACCTGTTGCCACTGCATCGCCACCTGGATGAAATCTTACCTATGTACACAAATATTACATATTAAGAGAAAGTATGTAAATATCAATTAAAAATATGAGTCCCTTAATTGATAAGTGACATAAGTACAAAATTAGGAAAAATGCATTTATTATAGAAATAGAAAGTATTAAGAATGTTTGTTTTATCTATCAATTTAATTTACTTTTATTTTGTTTTTATATTCATAAAAAATAAAAATCAATTTTATATTATAAATAAAGTGACCGTAAAAAAAGCTAGAATAATGATTTAAATCCAGTTTTTCTACAATCTATTTATGATGTAAAATTGATTTTTATTTTTTATGAATATAAAAATAAAATAAAAGTAATTTAAATGGATAGATAAAACACATTCTTAATACTTTTTATTTCTATAATAAAAGTATTTTTCCTAATTTTGGATTTATATCATTTGTCAACTAAAGGACTCATATAATAATTAGTAATATATTTTTAATCAGTAATATTAAAACACAAAGTTTTAAAAAATTTTCAAATAATTTAATTATTACATACTGAATTAACATCAGATTGATGTCCTTCAAAACTTTGCACACACTGGCCACTACGCATATCCCAAATTAAGACAAGTTTGTCACAACCACCAGACACAAACGTGTTCCCAGTTTCGCTCGGTGCTAAATCAATAGACATAACGTCGCTAGAATGTCCTTGAAAACTCTGTAACAATTGCCCACTTTCTACGTCCCACAAACCACATGTGCTATCTCCACTGCCTGTTAAGATCTGTTGATCGCTGTTAGGAAATGCACAACATGACATATATGATGTATGCGTACCAACAGTCTTCTTGTGAGCTGAAACATCATCCTCCAGACTTAACTGATACACTGTAACTTTATTATCCAGACCTCTACAACATTTATATGAAACAATATATGCAGTCATAAATCTAATATCTCTGTTTTTATTTTATATATATTATTTTATATATTTATTTATTTATTATGATCTATTACAATTAATTAATATATACCCGCATGCAACTAAATCACCACTAGGACCATAAGCACATGCCATCACCCATCTGGTTGGCATACTGACAGCATGTTCTTTATTTGTTGTAAAGGCATCCCATATAATCATTCTTCCATCCTAAAATGATGAAGTTATATATATGTGTATATGTGTGTGTGTGTGTATGTGTATGTGTGTATACATATACACATACACACTATAGTTTATGTAACATGTAAAATAAAATGCTTGAGAAAAGATTTACCTGTGAAGAAGAAACAATATGACGCTTATCAGGAGACCAATCAGAACATAAAACTTTGGCTTGATGCCCTTTTAAGATACGTCTAGGTTTAACATTTATACAATTAATTGCTTCAAGTCTATCTGCTACACTAGCAACTGAAACGAAATATGAAAAATGATATAAAGGATATATTGATTGATATAAAGGAATATATTGATTGATATCAAATAAATCAATCATTTATTACGCTTACGTGTAATATCGTTTAACTTTTGTCGTTCATCCTCCAAGCGTTTCTTTAAGCATTCTGCTTCTTTCGCTAGCTTCTCTATATGTTCCAACTCGGTTGCAGAGTCCATATTGTAGCTCTCACTTGCTGATTAACTCTTTGATATACAATAAATTTCACAAATAGATGATCTATACATTAAAATTATATGTATGTCAAAGTTGTACACATACACTTATATGTATCAACTCTAATAGGACATATATATGCATCTTTACAATTTCCTTGGAAGTCATAAATGATTCATTGTACAATCACAGCCATAGGCAGTTAATCATTGCTCAACTAGAATTATAAATATAATTTATTACATTCGCGCGCGTGCAGAATGCCATTTTTTCACAAAAGAGAAGAACGAAGACTCATGAAATTCTGACAGACGCCGATATTATTTCATGCATTGAGGCTCTTCCTACGTAATCCTTGCTCGCTTATTATGCGTTTGTTTTTAAGAGAAAGTTGTGACATGAGGTAAACGCGGATAATCGATACAGCGCGACTAGTGTTCTTTTTTCGCGAGAAGAAATAACGAAGCACGCTGCCGCGCCGGTGCAATGACGCTTGATGACGTTTCTCTTCTACCTCTGCTGGCTTCTGCACTGTGCACAATCCATTCCACCATTCAACATGCATTGCGCACATCCGTAATCAGTGTTACCAGATACTGGCGAAGCAATTTCCCTGTTGACATATAATCTCCCTCGTTTCCCCTATTTCAGTTCTTTCCAAAATTCCTGTTTTTGCAAATTTTCCGATAATTTCATCTATTTCTCTTAAATTCACAAAATTTTTGTTTTTTTATAAATTTTATTAAAATCAAATCATAAATTATTTTTTTATTAATATATTGGGTCATCTAAAAAGTATCCGTGGTTTTTTGACACTAGATGTGTGTTGATGGTCATATATCTAGTGACAAAGTACCGAGGATACTTTTTAGATGACCTATTACAATTTGGAAATACAGTATAATAAATATCAAACAGAACATAGACCTTTGTTACACAGCATTGGTAAAACCGTTTTATGAAATTGGCCAATCATAGCTATTCCTTGGGGCTCGGAAGAATGGAACGATTGTGATTAGCCAATTTTATAAAACGGTTTTTACTAAAACAATGCCGTGTAAACGTAGTAATATAAAAGAAAATATTGCATTGGGTCATCTAAAAAGTATCCGCGGTTTTTTGTCACTAGATAGTGTTGATATCAACACGATCTAGTGACAAAAACCGCGGATACTTTTTAGATGACCCAATAATAATAAGTAGTATAAATTAATGAATAATATATTTTTATTGTGCAATATTAGAGAAGTTTTAAAGAAACAAATAATGCGTATGATTTTAATATAAGTCTAATACAAGATCTACAATGGAAGTCGTAGCAGTCGTCTTAAATCATAGAAAATTGACCAATCACAGTTAAATAGAAAAAGTATAATTGAATCTGATTGGTCAATTTTCTACTAAAGACACTATTATCGCTACTTCAATTATAGATTTCGTATTAGAAAACAGACTAGTAAGGATAGTAACTAACATAAATTGATGTTTCATACATAATCATTTATCTTAACCTAAAACAAATATAATGTATATTTGTAGCACAAATTTAATCTCAAGAATCAATCTAGTAAGATTAAGCATGTGCGTAGCCACCCCGAACCTAAAGTTCCGAACCGGTAAGCTGCGTTTGGAAATATCATCCGGATACACTCGTGTATTATTTTATCCCTATTTAATATGGGGTGAATAACAAGGATAAAACGACACGCGGAGGCACTCGGGTGGTGTTTCTGAACGCAGCCCTACTATCCACACACCACACTTTGAGATCGTTAATTCGTAAAAAAAGTAATAATTCTTTCGTTTGATTAACATAATTGTTGTTGGACGTGTGCATGAAATGAGTCTGTAAATTCATCTCTAGCACGATCTTAATTCTCGCTAAAGCTACCAATTTATCGTTTTTTTCATTTCAAATTAATTCGTTATATACACATACACAGGCAACGGCAACCGAACCATCGAAGGTTCGAGAACAATTCAATCACACGCGCGAGCGCAGCGCTCCGACAAACACGTCACGCGCGGTCACCAATCCCACGCGCGGATTTTCTGTCGCGCATGATTGTTACGTCAAAAGTCATTAGAAAAGAATCCAAGGCGCCAATCAATCTAATGCCACGCAAATGCCACGCAAAAATTACAATTGTGGTAAAATTCTATTGGATTTTATCAAGAAGAGACCCTAGGCCACGAAGGCAATATATGCGCTGATCGTCACCGATCTCTCTCTCTTAGTGTTCAGAGTCTCGCTAGTATATCGTGTAGAAAACCGCCGCAATTTTCTATTACTGCTGAGTAAGATAATTCGAAAAAGGTGATTGTATCGAATATTTTGCGATAATTATTTATGTGTACTAAATTTGTGGTTGTAAAAATTGAAGTAAATCTTTAGTCAAACTACAAAGAAACGGAGTTCTTTTTACTTTCGTGCGTTATATCAGCCGTGTGCCGTCCTTTCACTTTATTCTTTACGCGCGGTGCAGTCCCGTACATAATGGAAAATATTGAATGCTCCGATATTTTTCTTGAGTTATTTGTTTGTATTTTTAAGGTGCAGCTTCAGCGAAATGACAAAACTTTTAATAACTCCAACGTATTCGTAATATAATATTTCATAAATTCAAGTAAAATGCGAATAGAGAGAAGACAATCGCTTTGTTAGACAGAAAATCGCGACAGAAAATTTATCTTCTTAAAGTCTCTCCCTATTATCTAGTTCACACTAGACGCGATGAGCGATGAACGACGAGCGAAATCCAATAAAAGCTGTGCTTTTTCTCACGTGACGACACAAAGCAAAGCTCTTATTGGATATCGCTCGTCATTCATCACTTATCGCGTTCAGTGTGCAGTAGGCATATTACGTATTTGAATTGATTTTCCATACTGACATAGGGAATCCATTAGGGCCATTCCACACAAATTTGCATAGCCGCATAATCAAATGCATAAAAAAAATTATTCAATCACATTGCTATCATAAAGACATAAAATACGATTGGATGATTTTCTTTATGCACACGTTTATGCGGTTATGCAAGTTTATGTGGAATGGCTCTTAGGTTTGTCACAGATAAAATTTCTGTAACGGTAACCTTAAGACGAATTTAATCCAATGAGCCAATCAGGATACTGCTTTAGATCTACATACTCTAACGGAAATAGAAATAGCAGTAAACTTATCCCTAAGGAGTGACGGGCCAAGTCCGATTTGACTTTGGAGATCTCACGTGATAGGACCTTGAAGCTCTGGATTCAGATCTGCCAACTTTAGATAATATAATCTCCATCTTCTTATGTGGTTGTGTATTCATATATGTACGAACACTAATATGATTCCTATCGAGAGCAAACGAGACATCGAAAGAGAGTGAGAGCCCGACGCTCTCGCTCTGGTCGCTGTACAAGTGACCGAAGATCAAAAATGCTTTCTCAGTGAGTTTGGTGTATATCTGTATAAGGTTTTCAGCATTCGAGATAACATATAAGTTTTAATAAATTTTAGTAATCATATACCTTTCCTATTAATGTATAACAACAAAATTATTTTCAAAACGCGATAGTTTACGAGATATTAATAATCTACAATTTTCCATACAATTTTCCGTTATATACCACGTTCATAAACACAATATGCAAGAACTCTGCGCATAAGGTGCGAGATCAGTAAACCGGAGATCCCACGATCAAATGCTACGTTTTTTTTCTTTTTTTTTTCACATATTTTTTTCTAAAATAAAGTTATTAATAAACATATTAAGGCGAACATACTTTTATACAATTATTGAATTTATACGTGCACTTTAATCGTTTTAAACCAACAACCAAAGTCAAACGTTAGAATATAAATAAAATTACTGAAATCATATCAGAGGTTGGACAAAATATAAATAAATATTATAAATAAATTAAATCTTCATTGTGTCAGTGAATAGTAAAAAATTCAAACTAAAACTACTTCTTTGTTTAAATGCAAAAAAATGGAATTATGAGTTAAAGTTTTTATAATTACGTCATATGAAGTCAAATGATTGATGTACCTTAGTCAAAGTTGAATGTCCTGAAGTACATCTATGGATACATATAAAAAATAAATTAATTATAAGAAAATTCAATTTAATAACAGATTCTATGAAAAGATTATATTCAAATAGATCAAACAGTAAAAATGCTTCGTGTCAGACTAATTCCAAATTTAAAACTCTTAGTGTCTTAGTAGTAAAATAAGTAGAAGAGAGAGAGAGAGAGAGAGAGAGAGAGAGAGAGAGAGATAATATGAATTTTACGATGAAAATAAATTCATCAGATGGAATGCTCGTTTTCTTTTCAATATAATAATTCTAATCCTGATTTTTATACTTTGTATTGCAATAAAGCGTTGTGTGTCTCCCTACAAGTGATACAGTCTTCATACAGTGCAAGATAGTGATTATGTTATCCTTGTCGAATAATAAGGGTGTAATGATATACTGTGTCACACCATGTATTTACTCAAGATTTGGTCTGAAAATCCTTTCTGATCTTTTGTAGCAGAAAACAATAAGGAACAAGGCTAACAGGCGCCACTGCGAATTATAAATTTTTATATATGCACATATTTGTATATGTAAATGTTATTTTATAACTACGCATATATTGTAAATACAAAAAAATATTCTGTGAACAAATTAATATTTCTTGTAATAAATTAATAGTAGCAATATGATATCTAATATTAATATTTTCGAACAATTAAGTACGATAGCATATAATCGAACTTTAAAGGAAATTATAATTATAGAGTATTAAATGTTTATTTTAAAAGAATAAATGTTTCAGATCGTTCTACAGCAAATAAATTACTTTTCCACGGCCATGATTTCCTCTGAATATATTAAAATATTAATGTGTTGGGTCATCTAAAAAGTATCCGCGGTACTTTGTCACTAGATATATGACCATCAACACACATCTAGTGACAAAGTGACAAAAAGCCGGGGATACTTTTTAGATGATATTATCATCTACCAATATTAAAATATTGATATTTTAAATATCCTTTATTTATCTTTACAAAAAACTTAATGATTTTGTATATATGCAAATTAATAAAACATCGTAAAAGAATTTATATAATTAACATGACTATTGATTTATTAATTTTTTAGTCGAATTAAAGTTTCTATCAAACAGATTAAATATCAATTGTTATAATTAATCATTTAACAGGTTACAAATCTATATATTTACATAACCAGTATTTGTAGTAATAATTATTTATTATATATAGCTATATTAATAAAATTAAAGAGAGACTATATTCGCTAGCACTTTTTTAGAAATTTATAAATGAAAGCGCAATATAAAAAGTTTTCTTCAATGACTAATTTTGTAACAAATAACAAATTGAAAACGTAAAAATTAATTAAAATATTTTATAAATATTCTGTACTGGCTGGACTAGAATAAACTCTTAAAATAAATATTAATATTAAAATAATAATAGAATTATTCTCTCTTTCTCCTATGGTTTTCTCCTTAATTTTGATATAAAAATATAAATAAATATATTATATAAAGT